AGCGCATCTCTCTGACCAGATAAAAAATTTTGGACCTCTTACAGCAACGTCTGCTATGGTGTTTGAAAATGTAAATCGCCAACTAAAGAGGTTTGTTACAGGAACTAAAGGCCATGGAAGGCAAATGGCTGAAAAATTTATTAGATTTCAGACAGAAGACCACTTAAATACTTTTTCTTTGAATCCTTTTGTGTTAGGTGCAGCACAAAATATATCAGATAAGTTACGGAATATGGATTTGAATGATTTAAATGTTGACCTAAATCTTTATCAGTTTTATAACCGTTTTAGAGTTGCTGATAGAACTTTTCATGCTTATCATTATGATAAAAAATTAAAATCAGCTTCATATTATGCATATTTAATAGAATTTAATGTGATTGTGAAAGTTTTGTTTATTGCACATAACCAAAGACAAATCTTGTGTATATGTCGATTGTATAAAAATGTAAGTAAGTTTCATCGTCATATGGGTTCTTTTAATATTCCTATCAAAATCAAGCATGTTTTGTCAAAAATATCTCCTTATTTATTGTTGAAAAAGTGTGGATTAGCTGTTTTTGATTCAAGCAAATTTACTCACTACGCTCTTGTAAAAAAAACAAAGAAATTTTATTATAGCGTTGTTATTCAAAATAATTATGAACATGGTTTTGTTTCTATTTTTTAAAGTTTGAAATTGTATTATGTTTTTTTGTATTATTATATATTTACTTTACAATATTCTTTTTATTAGAAGTTGTTATTTAGGATTCTGTTTGCAATCAATTAATTAATGAAACATAAAACTTAATTCATAATGGCGACAACAGTTTGTTGTTTACAATGATCTAAATCAGATTTCTTAACAGGTAGATATGATTAATATCTATTAAATTAATTATTATTTTAGATACAAATATTAATTGTTTTTCGTCAACTGTAAATTTTCCTATTTTTATATGTATATAAAAATAATATGTGTATATATATGTGTATATACATGTGTATATATATATATATATATACATATATATATATATATATATATATATATATATATATATATATATATATATATATATATATATATATATATATATATATATATATATATATATATATATATATATATATATATATATATATATATATATATATATATATATATATATATATATGTGTGTGTGTGTATATACACACACGAGGCTTATTTAAATTTTTTTAATTTAACTTAGTTTCATATTTTCATACACTTTTATTTTGAAATTTTAGATTATAATAGCTTTGAAACAATGATAATGAAAGTTTTTTCATCGTTCTAAATTTATGGTAAGTTAAATATGCTTTTTTGTTATAAAATATATGTTATTATGTTGTTGAATTACATTAATATTTTTATAAATTACGTTATAGCTACAGTTATGGTCGTAAAAGATTAAGAAAAATCTTATGGGTGCAATTATTCCACTGACACCTGCGAAAATTACCAAAAGAACTGACCATCGCTGTTTATTGTATTTTTTTAAAATGTTCTATTTAAACAATCTAACACTTAATTATTTGTTATTTTTATTATTGTTTTATAAATAGGCGTCCTTATTGCTTAGCGACTATTTAAGTTATATTATAAGGATTATATTTTCAAGAAGATTCTGTGTTTAAGTAAAAATTATTATTTTTACTTAAACTCGTATATTTCTTGAAAAATAAGCCTACTAATATATCTATGAAATCTTTAAAACTCAAATAATTAAATAAAACCCTAATAAACATATGAATTTAACTAAAAAAACTATTAACTAAAACTAGAAAGTAATACTTAACCGAGAAAAAAAAACCTACTAACCCAGTTAAGTACCTACTAAGTTCCGAGTAAAAACCCTAGTAATACTACTAAGTTTCCTTCTAAAAACTTGCTAATCCTACTAAGTTTCCTACTAAAAACTTGCTAATCCTACTAAGTTTCCTACTAAAACTTGCTAATCCTACTAAGTTTCCTACTAAAACCTGCTAATCCTACTAAGTTCCTAGTAAGTACTCGGCGGGAACTTACTAAGTTTTATTAGGAACTTAACAGGATTAGCGGGTTTTTTTTTCTCGGGTATCTTCCCCAAAAACTTTGAAAATACAATATAAAAACTCTAAATAGAGCTTCTATAAAAATTCATTTTTTATTTATTTACACTTTTGCCGATAAAAAAAAATTTACAGTCGTAACTTATAAAAAAAAATAATTACATGACCGGGGCTAGAAGAAGACATATTTAGTCTTATCATTAAGCCCCAAAAAATGCGTCATTACTAGACAAAATATAGTTTAACAATAAAATATAGTTTCAATGTATATATCTCTGATTTATATTATAAAAGAAAACGTAAATATATCGCATATTGTTTAAAATTTATAGTTTTTCAAAGAATAAGATTTAACAACTGTTTTGTAAAATAAAAGAAACAAAATTTAATAAAATATTAAAATGACAAAAATAACATTTGTACATTATACCTAAATTTTTTGATATTTTATCTTCAACTACACCTATATGTTCCCTCCAGGTTACATTTTCGTCTAGAAACACGCCTAAAAACTTTATTGATTGCTCTCTCTTTATTAATTGATTGTCAATAAAAAGGTCTGGGAGTTCTAAGGGAATATCTGATTTTTTATGTAGGCGATGGAATAAAGTGTATTTTGTTTTAGTAGTATTTAAAGATAACTTGTTTGATTTAAACCATCGGGTTAGTTTGTCTAGTTCTTTGTTTAATGTTTGGAATAATATATTGATATCTTTCTTGGAATAAAACAAGCTGGTATCATCTGCAAATAAAATTGTATTTAAAATGTTAGAAAATTTATTTAAATTGTTTATATAAACAAGAAGTAGAAGTGGCCCTAAAATTGATCCTTGAGGAACACCACATTTAATTGTCTCATAATTAGTTTTTCCTTCATCATAAACTATATACTGCTTCCTATTGGTCAAATAACTCTCAAACCAGGACAAGTTAGTATTTTTTATACCATAACTTTTGAGTTTCGATAGAAGGATTTGATGATTGACTGTATCGAAAGCTTTACTTAAATCGATAAAAAGACCTAGGGTATACTTGCCTTCATCAAACGATTTAAATATGTCCTGAACAAGGTGAATGATTGCATGATCGGTGGAATGGCCAGATTTGAATCCAAATTGTTTATGGTAAAGAATATTGTTTACATTTAAAAAAGAATAAAGCCTATTATACATAACTCGCTCTAATATTTTAGAAAAACAATTAAGAATTGAGATTGGACGAAAATTTGCAACTTCAGAAGGATCGCCTGACTTTAAAATTGGAACGATTTTTGCAATTTTTAGGTTTTCTCGAAAAACACCATGTTTTAAAGATAATTTAAAAAAATATGTAATAATGGAATTGTTATGTATTTTATCGATTTAATAACGACATTACTACTTATAGAATCGAAACCTACACTTTTTTTGGTCTTTAACAAAGAGACTGCGCCTAATAATTCATTTTCCGTAAGTTTAGGATTAGACATAACACTAATGTTGTTTGAGGTTACGTAAGACTTAAAGTCTATTTGAGAAGTTGCTATATTTGATGATAAAATAGGACCTATATTTACAAAAAACTGATTAAGTGTTTCGGCTACTAAGGACTTATTTACAATACAATTGTTATTAACTTTAAGATTTTTCGGAAGTAAGTTACCGTGAAAACGTTTTTTACCGATTACCTCCTTTATAATTTGCCATGTTTTTTTCGAATCATTTTTGTGTTTAAATAATTGTTCCGAATAGTAATGTTTCTTTAAGCGTTTTAAAACTGATTCATATAGCCGTTTATAGGTTTGTAATTAGTTTCATTTTTGAGAGTTTTTTTTTTTTGAGGATTTAAGAATGCCCCTCGTGATCCAAGGGTTTAAAAGTGTTTTTGTTTTGATAACTTTAGTAACTTCCGGGAATGCTTTATTATAAAGATTAAGAATTTCAGTTAAAAAAATATCATAGGCTTTATCGGCATTTAGATTTAGTTGTAGGGTGTCCCAGTTAACACCAGTAAGAAGTTTATGAAAATTTTTGATGGAAGCGTCGTTTATTAACCGTGTTATAATTAATTTTTTTCAATCACTAAAAGCATCATAGTCGATGCATTTTTGCGATAGAATAAAAATAGGGAAGTGATCAGAAATGTCAGATTTAAATATACCTGTCCTTATTTTAATATTTACGAAATCATTTGTAATAATTTAATCTAAAGATGTTGCACTTTGTAATTCATTGTAAAAATTTATTTACCATATTTATTAAAACCTCTCTCATTTTTGTGACAACCTACGTTTCTTAATTAAGAATATTCGTAAAGCCATTGCCATACAGCCAAAACCAACAAAAAAATCTATTAGACCAGTTTTTTTGGCAATGTTTAACCTTCTTTAACTTTGTCAGTATATCTTTATCTACAAACCGTGTCAACCTTATCACAAAGAGTTATCATACATATATTAACGGGTTTCCTTAATAATCCAAATCAGTTAAAAATTAGTCTTTTATAGAATTCCTACATCAATTGTTATTTATTTAAATTTTGCAGATAACTGTGTTTTCCTATTTAGTAGATACAATTTAGGACTAGATTTAATGATTTTTTGATTAGTTTAACACGAAAAATGTCCGATATGTTAAACCAATAATAAGAATAATCTTTCAAATGATAAATGCTGCGTTTATTATTGAAAAGATATTCTTTAACATTTAAACTAGCTATTACGGAAAAAATGGCTTGCGCAAAAATATTAACTAAATTTAGATTTCGGACTATTAATGAAAACATTAAAGATGAGGAAATATAAATATTGAATATAAACTTCATAAATATTGAATATAAACTGCAAACTAATAAAAAATTAATGTGGATATAAAAAAATAAAACAATAATGTTAAGTCATATACATAAAATGTAAAACAAAAATGAAAAATATTAAAACATTACACAATTTTATTGTTAATAATTTCATTGCGATTTTTATTAAGCCAAGTAGCAAAATTGACAACTTCTGGGTTTAGTTTTTTTGTCAAATCTGGGTCACGCTTCATAATTTGAAGATTGAAATATTCAAACATTATTTGAAGATCTTTAACACCTGGGAACCTTAGAATGTTTCTAAAAAGAACTCTATTAAACCAGCCACCTGGAAAGTAAATTTTAAGCGGCGATAACTCTTGATTCAAAAGCAGAACTATATCAGAAACTTTAAGAAAATCTCCACAAAGACCTATTTTTTGTGATTTGTACTGTTCAGGATCTGAAAACACACTTGCTACACAATTCCCAATATCCTCAACATTCATTATGTAAAGCTTTTTGCCTGAATCCATTGGTATGTTCAATAAAAATCGATTTCCAAACGCTTTGTTTAAAACCGAACTAACTACTTCTTGATAGTACATAGGCATTCGAACTGAAGTGAAATTTAGTTTGTCTTTTTGTTTCATACCGTAATCCTCGATAGCTGCTTTGTAATCAAAATGTAAACAAGGTTCATTGATCTGTGACTCGACATTCTCCAATCCACTGAAGACAATGTGTTTGACGTTATTTATTATTGCTTTATTAATTAAATTAATACCTTGGTCAACTTCTTTGTTTTTTACAAAGTGAGCGGTGAAGTCTGTTACAAAAAATACACCGTAGCAACCTTTAAGAACAACATCCAAACTATCTTTATTATCTAAATCAGCTTCAACTACCACAACATTTTTTAGATTAGAAAGCTCTTTTGCTTTCTCTGAACTGCTGTTTCTAGTCACAGCTCTTACACGATAGCGATCTGTTTTTACTAACGAGCGAAGTACAGAGCCTCCTTGTTTACCTGTGGCGCCAAAAACAGCAATAACTTTAGACATCTAATGAAAATTTTTTATAAAGTTTGATCAATCTATTTTTTTGATAGGCATCATTGGTAAAAATAAGATCCGTCAAAGCTCTAAAACAAATAAACAAATCTTATATAAACCAAAATATTCTAAAAACAAATTAATTTACTCTTATAAATATGAAACTCAGAGTTAAAAACGCCGGAGAAACAAGGGGGGGCAGCAGCCTTGAGTGGGGCAGCAACTGCCCCCCCCCCACTTTTTTTCTTAAAGACATTTTTTACCTCTGCACTTAGAAACCTGTGTCATTGGCCCTGAAACTAGATGATTGTTTTACTATTTGGGTTTCTATTAGTTAGTATTTAGTCTACAAAGTATAAGATTTAGTCTACAAAGTATAAATATAAATTATCAGAATATATTTTTAATAAATTTGTATATATATACATATATATAACAGGGCTGACGATACAGGTTTTGATGTGGAGGGGCAAAACCGTCAATATCTAAAAAAAAGTCTAGACTTTTAAAAAAAAAGTCCCCCCCGGCGTCGTCGGCCCTGAATTTATATATATATATATATATATATATATATATATATATATATATATATATATATATATATATATATATTTGTGTAAAGATTTGATATATTTTTGAAACGTATTGTTGATGTTGCAAACTTTAATAGTTTTAATTATATGTATTAAATCTTTTTCAAAAGCGGACATTTCCTTAATTTGCGGAGGGTATTTAGGAGTTTTGATACCATAATTAATGTAGCAGATGAATCTTTTTTAATCTTTGAGTAATTGAAGTTAACTTTCTCCAAATTTTATCCAACATTGAATACAAGTGCTCAACTGAACGATTGATTAATGTTGATTGGTTCAACATTGTATTAAAATACAAAACTGTGATCGTAGAAAAGTGCTCAATAATGTAAATATATATATATATATATATATATATATATATATATATATATATATATATATATATATATAATACTTTTAGATACTCACTGTTACTTCTAATATACTCTTAAGTTAATAAATTTAATAAACTTGCATTTTGAACGTTTTCAAACGGTTTTTAAATTTTCATAAATGTGCTTTGGAATGGCTTCCAGTCTAAAAACAACCGATCTTGCGCATAGATTCTTTTAAATAATTTTTTTTTTCCAATATCGAGTATATTGGTACAAGAGCTCGTCCATAAATTACGTCACGCTCTAAGGGGGAGGGCAAGAGGTTAGTGACATTTTTTTGTACAAGTCGTTTTGTGACGACTCGTACAAAACTTGTTACTATAGTAACAAAAACGGTCAATTATTGGGTCAAAAGTAACAAAAACGGGTCAAAAACGTGGCAAAAACGGCTCAAAAAAGATCAAAAATTGCGTGTCATAATTTATAGACAAGCCCAAGTTTATAAATAAGTTTATTAAAGTTTATAAATAAGTTTATTAAAGTTAAAAAATTTCAAAAAGGTTTTGAAATTTTTTCAAACTTTTTTTTATTTTTCACAAATATGCTATGGAATGTTTGCCAGTAAAACAACTAAAACAGTAAAACAACTAAACATGCGTTTAGATTCTTTTGATTTTAGTACTTTTATTATAAATTAATAGTAATATATAATTAATTAAATAGGGGTCAAGGAGTGTTTATTTCACACCTACATCTTTTTTTATACTTATTCAGCTATTTATCTATCCTCTATTTCTTTACTTTATTGTTTTTTTGAATAAATGGTAGAAAAATAATTCATATAAAGAATGCTCCGAGAGCAAAAAAATATGCGCACTTTATACGCAAGCTTGCCGCTCATTAAAACTCCTACCCCGTTTATTTATTTCAAGAGAAAAAGTCTAAATTAAATGAAAACACTCCTTAAAAAATAAAATCGTCATTTTAACATCCTAGATGCGCAGACTAAGTGGATGTCCATAAAGTACGTTTGTATTTCGTACGCTTTTATTTTGACCTACCTTCTCACCCCCCCCCCCCCCCCCGCATTTTGATATACGCTTTTTTGAGTACCCTTCGTATGATTTTTAAGAATTTTAATGATGGTTTAATTAATTTTTGATAATGATGGTTTAATTAATTTTTAATAATTTTAATTTTTTAAGCTACTATTTTGCATTTTGCAGGTATGATATAAAGTTGCTTCCTTAGCAACGTATATAGCAACAAAAGAAGCAGTGTGAAAACTTTTGTTTAACCACTACTAAAAAAAGTAAAAATGCAGATGCAGATGAAAAAAATTCTCCTAACTTGCCTGAATGGATTTTTTATTTATTTTTTAAACATCTTTGCTTTTAACAAGGCTACAATCAACCACTAATTAGAGTTGGAAGTTACTGGAAGAGAAAAGATGTGTAAAGATTGTAGAGCAAGATAACGATTGACAGACGACTTAAAAGATTGCAAATTATATTAATCAGGAAAGCAAGATGAAGGAAGCGAATTCCAAAGAACAGATGTTTGAGGAAAAAAACTAGTGGAATAAGAGTTTTTTGGAGCACAGGATGAGACTTAATTGAATGACGGGTAACACGAGAATGAGATTTAGTAGATGGCACAAGAGATGATAGCTTTTTAGAGCAGTGCTTATTATAGTATTTGTAGAAAAGAGAAAGAGAAACAACATTACGAAGATAAGAAAATGAATGAAGGTTGACTGCAAGAGCAGGTCCAACTATGTTTACAATGCGTTTTTGCACCTTGTCTAAAAGAGAAAGGCCATCATAAGAAAATCCGCCCCAGATATGGCAACAATATTCCATACAAGGCCAGATTTGAGATTTATAGACGTAGAGAATAGAATCCGTAGTAAGAAGGTGTTGAGCTTGATAAAGACATGCAACATTAGCAGATGTTAATTTTGCAACGGACTTGATAAATGGTTTCCAAGAAAGATCGGAAGTAGGAGTTAATCCTAGAAGATGAAGGGAAGATGACTCATCAAGTACATTACCGTTCATATATATAGGAAGGTCTAAATTATTGCAATATCAATTGGCTGAAATAGATTGAGTTTTATCTGAATTAAAGTTCACCAGCTACTGTGAGCCCCATGCTGTACCAGAAGTGAGATCCTTTGAAATGCTCCCTCCAAACAATCAGAGAGTGTTAGCTTCTTATCGTGACAAGAATAAATGAAAGACTTTGATAAATTGAGTAACGTCAATTTGTTGAAAAAATGTCTTTATGGGCAAACTTAAAATTGTAATAAAGGACTAAATAATCTCATCTGGTCCCAATGTCCTTAAAATGTTTATGTAAAGACAGATGTTCTTTTTAATGAAGGTTTATTTTTGTGTATTTAAACATTTAAATCTAGACTTTGAAAAAAATACGATAACCAGTTCAGTAAAAAAGACCAAATCCGGTAATAGAATAGGGTAAAAAACGAAGAACCACAAAAAAAAAAAAAAAAAAAAAAAGAAGAAGAAAAGAGTTGAGAGGAATTAGGAAAGATTGGATTTATAAAAATCAAGAACAATTATCCAAAAATATCTATGAAAAATGATATTTAAAACTTTTTTTTAGTTATTTGCCTTATATCTAAAAATGAAGATTTTAACATAATTTATGAACTCAAAACACGATATCTTAACATTAATGCTTAGATCTCCAATGCTTAGATCTCCAAGTTTTTCCTATTTGTCAAATACATATATGGGATTTAGAAGAAATATTTTTGTTTTTATATAATGATCTTAGTTCATCATTTATCTCATATATCAGAAAATAATATTTCAAAGTACCAAGTTGTTTTATTTAGTCATTCTGGAATAATCGTGTTTTGAAAAATAAATAAGTAGAGTTCCACGCGGTTATTAAAACAAATCTCGTTTTAAAAAATAAAACTAATGAATTTTTTTTTTCCATTACTATAAGTACAGGTAGATGCACCCCAAAAACCAAGGCACCTCAAAAACAACGCGGTCAGTTAAAAGGCTCTAAAAATTTAAATATGCATTTTAAAACCATATGAGAAATTTTTTCTCATAAAGGAATGTTTCAGCAACAATTAAAACAAAAGAAATCAATATTAACAATAAAGGAGTTTTTTTTACAACCGTTTTAAACTTAAAAAGTGCTGAGAAAAATAATTGAGTTTTAAGTAATATTGCTATAAAATATTGGTTTTTTAGACTAAGTTTGCAAATCCCATCTAGTTTGCTTATCTTTTATATGCTATTTACATAAATCAAACCATTTTTATTATAAGTAGAAGGAAAACTTGTAAAAAAAAGTTTAAAAATTACATTTTAACATGTGGTTTTTGGGGTGCGCTAAGAAAAAGTTAAAAAAAAAAAGTTTATCCAGAACAAGTCTTTACAACAAATTTAAAACAAATAGTTCATTCAATAAAAAAGATTTTGAATATCACAGTTATTTCTTTCTAGCAGCTGCAGATAAAATCATTTCTGGGTTTTTTCCATTTACTTTGCAGTTTGCTTTGCTGCAAATGGACCGCATTATATTGAGGCAGGTTGGACACTGCTTTAAGCCAAAAGCTTTACATTTTATCTCCTCGCAATAGCATTGAAGCTTACATGTTATAAAGAGTCTTGTAACTTCCTCTTTCTTTTTTGCAGCATTTTCTTTTTTTTCCTTTTCTTTTTCTTTTTTTCTTTTTATGTTTTCAACTAGAGTTATTACATCGCTTGCAGTCATTGATCCATGTACTTGGGTAACACGTGTTGCATCTTTTGTTAATTTTGGCTTTATCTTTTTGGTTGTCATAAAACCAGGTATTTCTTCCAGCTGAATGCTCTTTTCATGAAGTTCATCAATCAACTCCATCGCTTGTTCAAATTTTGATTTCCAATAATTTGCTGAACCACGTCTTTTATCCGGCGAAGAAATTAGTGGAGAAGTCTGTTTTTCTGGTTCAATACAGTTTTCTGCTCGTTCGAATTTGTCTTTTAGCATAAAATCAACACTCAATGCATTTTCGGCAACACCAACCCTTTTAGCAGATTTTACAAGCGTTTCTTTGGTTGTCCACTTGTCCCATATATTAGCTAAAACTAACATAAAAGCTTCTTTGTTTAAGGAACAGATATCAGAAAACATAGAGTCTTTTTGCTTACGATACTCACTATGAATGTTCTTGTTTACTTGGTCAAGAAGTTGAGTAACTCCTGTTGTGTCTGGTGGAGTAAGAAAAAGATGAATTCTTTTGGACTCCAAAAAAGATAATACATCAAAGTCTAGTCTAGAGCTATGTCCATCTGATAATAAGACGATGGGTCGCTTAACATTTTTTTCATTTAAGAAGACATCAAACTCTTTCAATGCTGCCAAGAAAGATTCATGGGTTGATACTCCATTATCTGTAGTTGTGACCAACAAATGGGGAATTTTATTTACTGCTTCTGTTGGAACCATAGAACTAGTAATACCAGTACATTTAAATATTACCTGACACATACATATGTCGCCTAAAAATAAAAAATAAAAAAGTTTTTTAATGCTTGTATTTATTTATATTCAATTTTTTCTTGAACCATAACATATTATAGCATACCTGAAAATGAAACAAATGGTTGAATTGTGACACATTCTCTGTTTTCTCTATACATTCTTTGACATGCATCTCCTTTGCCAGCATAAAATAATCCAGAAGTGGTACCATCAATTCCATAATTAATAAACTGGGGTGTTTCATCACAATTAAATATTCGGCATGTATCAACAGTGCCATTCCAAACCCCTGTTTCAATCATTTTTTCATTTATCATAATACCAACATCTACTAGTTCTTTAGCAAGGGAATCTGAAATAATGTTATTATAGGGAAATAAACAAATTAAAAAAAAAAGTACATTCAGATTTATGAATTTATATTTGTTCATTAATAACTTACCTAAATGATTACATGCCATTTCTCTTGAACAATTAAGTGCACGGTTTATCGAGACACTCCCTTGGCGTTTGATTGTAAGGCTGCTATGTTTAGCATTAAAACGAAGCCAAAATGATCGACTCAATCTATAAAATGGAATATTTACATAAAGAAAAGAGTCATATTACCCGTCTTACATACTTTTATAGGATCATTGTA